TTATGAGCTTTTATCGTTTGAGAGATTAATATATGGGTGAAAGGAATTGACAAAGTAATGATCGGTGTATTTGATTACCGCTAACTGGACTTATTATTGCTAATTATATAAGGTTGTTCTCAATGAAATCCCCCAAAATTTAATAACGAAATATGTAAAGAATTAAATTAATAGTAAGTGCTAACTTTTAAATAACATGTATTCCAACAAAGTATGTGTATTCCACGAGCCAAAACTTCATGCAATCTATGGTCCTCTCCGTCGTTTTTCACTGCAATAGGTCGATATACGGTCAGATAGGCCGGTTATGTCGATTAATGCCATGTTTTTGGAAATCTCTACAACACATATACGTTATAAATATAAAATAGTGAGCGTAAGGTAGAGACTTTTAAATGTATTTGCAAATATGTATGTAAAATAAACAGCTGACTATGCGGTATGGGCTTTGCTCATTGTTGAAGGCCGCACGGTGACCTACAGTTGTAAATTTCTGTGTCATTTTGGTCTCTTGTGGAGAGTTGTCTCATTGGCAATCATACCACATCTTCTTTTTTTATATTATATAATAAGAGGTGAACGACAAATCTTGCTTTTTATTTTGATCAAATATTAAGACACGTTAGCAAATTATCTAAAGTACACTGTCCCAAGAGGTTGAAAATCAGGTCTTTATAATCATATAATACTTACATTAAATCTTTTATTATATATATGTTTTATATGCTTTAATTTCACTATAAGATATGTGGATTTTCTGAATCTTTTCCAAGTATTAAGAAATGAACATCTATTGTATTTTTGTATCCCTTACTCTGGTACGACGACAGCATTGTCAAGTGCGTTTCATATGACAATAAGTGAGCGCAACAAAATGTTTCTTCATATAACGGCGTCCATTTAAAAAAAATCACGGATTTCAGCTAGAACATAATGTTAGCAATGTTTAAACACTTTTTACAAAACGAATTGTCCTTTTAGTCTGACTATGTTACATTGTTTGTATATTCTTTTATTTTAAGCGTCGATGACATTGACGTCGTCTCCTGATAAAGCAACTGTGGGTACCGACTTTACATTCACTTGTAAAACGAATGTGAGATACTTGTACTATAGAACAGGAATACAGAGTGAATGTCTGATCATCGGTGGATATCCAAATGGAACATGCCTCTTTGTTGGATACTACAACTCAAATTATACGTACAACTGTAATAATAGTACTGGTGTGTACAATCTGACTATACCCAGCTCATTTGACATCGATTCTTTACATGGAAGTAACTGGAAATGTAGTGATGCAATAAATGGTGATGATTCAGAATCTATTTCTCTTTACGTCTTCGGTAAGTCTGCAAGTTGATAAAATAAACGAATACTTTATATTTGTGATTTTATATAAATAATATTTTAATGTGTTCCTTCTCCTCAGAATTGTTTCTGCATGTTGTATGCGATAATAGAAATTCAACTTATGTAAAATTGAGAATGGAAATGGGGAATGTGTCAAACAGACAACAACCCGACCATAGAACAGACAACAGCAGAAGGTCACCAATAGGTCTTCAATGCAGCGAGAAACTCCCGCACCCGGAGGCGTCCTTCAGCTGACCCCTAAACAAATATATATACTAGTTCAGTGATAATGGATGTCATACTAAACTCCAAATTATATGCTTGTTTGCTTTGTCTGAATAGTGTGTTCTAGACATATGTGTTTTAGTGATTAAGATTATAAGTCAACTGCTGTATCCCTATTTTTGACATTTGTGCCTATTATGTGTTTTTGTTTTGTTCACACTCTGATGTCAAAATATGGAATTTTATCCGACTTTCATACAATTACGAGGTTTAGCTAGCTATAAAACCAGGGTTAAATCCACCAATTTTCTACACAAGGAAATGCCCGTACTAAATAAAAGCAACAGTAGTAAACCGCTGTTCGAAAGTCATAAATCGATTGAGAGAAAACAAATCCGGGTAACAAACTAAAATTGAGGGAAACACATCAAATATAAGAGGAAAACGACGAAACAACAGAAACACAAAAGTGCAACAAAAAACCACACGACATTGCAACACACACAAAAACGAACTATAAACCCGCTGCATTTGTTTGCACCTGTCCTAAGTCAGGAATCTGATGTTCAGTAGTTGTCGTTTGTTAATGTGGTTCATAAGTGTTTCTCGTTTCTCGTTTTTTATATGGATTAGACCGTTGGTTTTCCCGTTTGAATGGTTTTACACTAGTAATTTTGTGGGGCCCTTTATAGCTTACTGTTCGGTGTGAGCCAAGGCTCCGTGTTGAAGACCGTACTGTGACCCATAATGGTTAACTTTTATAAATTTTGACTTGGATGGAGAGTTGTCTCATTGGCACTCATACCACATCTTCTTATATCTATATAAGATAACAATTGCCGTTTTCCTGACTTTGCACAGGACATTTTAAGAAACAAATTATGGGTTAAACCTGGTTTTGTGGCTAGCCCAACCTCCCTCTTTGATGGCACTGTAAAATATAACACTAAAATGACAACATTACATGACAGGACTACAATACAAATAAATAGAAGAACATTCAGGAAAGAGAAATACACAAGTCAGGTAATTTGACAGTTGTATTCCATTCGTTTGATGTGTTTGAGTTTTTTATTTATTTCCTTTGATAAAGGATTTTCCTATTTGAATTTTCCTTGAAGTACTGTTTTTGTTTTGTTTTACTTTTCACTATATACATATGTCTTGTTCTGCAAATGTGAAGAAGTCTAATGAGAGAATTGTTTTGTATTTTCTTCACAGTGTTTTAAATTTTTCAAAAATTGATCTCCATAGAAATTGTAAAAGGGAGGCGAAAGATACCAGAGGGGCATTCCAACTCATAAATCTAAGATAGAATGACAATGCTATGGCTAAAAAATAAAATAAAAAAAGGCGAACGGACAAATAAAAGTACAAAAAACACAACATAGAAACAAAAGACTTAGCACACATACCATTCAAATATAATTTGTAATTTTGAACAAAAACTGTCAAGATTGGTAATATCAATTCTTGAATTAAAACTGCCAAATTGTAAGCTGATTTCTGGCATAAATGTACCTTCTGCATTGTAGCTTTTTTTATCAAATAACCATCCGCAAAGTATTTGTAGCTACAACATTTTTAACAACTGAAAGAAGCAATATTAACCCTCTGTATGCTGATTGTGTACATCTCTGATTCACTGCAAGGTATACACTTAGTGATTGATTTTAAGTTCCTGTCATTTCAGGATTTTTTTTTTAAATTACTGAATTCATTATTAAGAAATTATTTAGAAATTACTTGGTTTTTAATAAGGATTTTACAAGCTCAATGAATTATAAGGAATGTTTTTAAAATTTACCGTCCTTGATTAAGTAAATGTTCAATAGAATTAGAACATGTGTATGGTCATTTTAGTATAGTACTACACTCTTGTAAAATTCGAAAATGGGAAAAACATTATAAGGTTAAATCATATTATTCTGTCGAATGAAAACAATCATATTGGGTTAAATAAAAACAGCAGCAAACATATAAAAGTAGAACTTATTTGTTCATAGAAAACGCTCGAATGGGAAAAAAATATCTTATTGGAAAAACGTATGTCCAACATTTATTCAACTGCCAAAAATAATTTCCTTAGGATAAAAACAAATTTCACACGTTAAAGGGACATATTTATTAGATGTCACTACTATATACGAATAACCTATACACATTTAGTAGTCGGCAAATTAATGTTGACATGCATATCAATGATATGGTCCTTTTTATATATTTACTGTTCGCAGAAGTATGAATTATTCGAAAAACTATGGATGTTCTTATCCCAGGCATAATATACCTATGCCGTATTTGGCACAACTTTTGGAATTTTGGATCCTCAATGCTCTTCAACTTTATACTATTTCGGTTTTTGGCTTTCTAACTATATAGATCTGAGCGTCATTGATGAGTCTTAGGCAGACTAAAAGGGCGTCTGGGCGTATCAAATTATACGCCTTGTTTCTTTGATAACTAATTAGACTTGTAGTTTGAGTAATTAAGAATTTATGTGAATTTGGATCAGTCTCAGCTTTAAGTGAATCGTTACGACGATTTCGTGTTGGGATTTGCATGATATATTTATCATTTGTTTTTAATTTTATATTTTTAAAAATCAAAATGTGATTAGACTATTACTTTTATCATCTAATATCAGTGCATTTCAAAATTCATTATACGCAGTTTGCAACGTTCGTATTCAAACCAAATGAATATAGATATCGGTTCAGGGCACTACTGGAATAATGCCCCGTAGATTGGCCGTGAAAATGTCCGTAAAAATTGCTGGTGATTTTTACAGTGTTTGTCACGGTTAATTTACAGTGGGCCGTGAAACTTATCGTGACAATGCCGTGGAATGACTGTCGTGAAAAGGCTGCGAGAAGTTTGTGAAAAGGCCGTGAAGAGGTGCCACCTGAAAACTTGGGTGAAAAGGCCGTAGAAACCCTGTGAAAAAAAAGGTACACCGTGAAAAAGTCGTGATAATGCATTATGTGCCCATTCTGAAAAGACCGTGAAATGTAGATATAGTACAGTATATGCCTTTATTTGTCGGGAAAAGGCCGTGAAAAGGTGCCAACTGAAAACTTGGGTAAAGAGACCGTAGAAACCCAGTGAAAAACAAAAATGTACACCGTGAAAAAGTCGTGATAAATTATGTGCCCATTGTGAAAAGACCGTGAAATGTACATCTACTACTGTGATAAACAGCCATTCACTGATTGTGAAAACTCCTGTAAAATGTTAAATGTATTTTTCAGGCCATAATTTAACAAAAAAATTAAATGCTGTTTCAATCAAGTGAAGTGAAATGCCTGAAAAACTAGTGTAAACATCTACAGACAACTTATTTAAGTACAATGCAAGTGATACTATGAAAAACCATATTAAAATGCTGTATTTTTGTTAATAATAATTGTGACAAAGAATAGAAATATGAATTTTAATAGAACTGTAGTAATTATGTAAAGAAAACATAAAAGCACACGAATGTCAATGTGATTAAGTACAAAATGTAGCTAAAGTCAGCTGTAACATGTATTGTAGAAATTTTGTACATCTCTTGGGTCTGATTTTACCACTTCAGCAATATTTGTCTAATGTAATCCTTCACTTCACTGCCCTTTTGAATAACTATTCCAGAAAAACATTTATAGAAGTTCCTGTTAATTCCCAGGAAATACTTTTAACTGAAAAGCTCTTCTTTCCAACTGGATTCCTGAACTATTTTTTATATAAAGACTGCTATATCCTTTTGCTCTTCATTCCTAGAATAAATAAAGAAACATTACATATATTATACATGTTTATAAAAAAACTATTTATATATTCAAATTAATTTTTGGCATTTATGTATATACATGTACTTAAAACAGCTACAATATTATTCCATGCAATACAGGACTTCACGGTTAATGACCCCATATTGAATAGGGGGCAGATTTTCATACTGGAGATGAAAATGGTATGAAAAATACTAAAAAACATCATTGAACATGTTGCAACAGAACAGCCACTTGGAAACATGCATAGGTTTTCCCGTATTTTCATACCATTTTCCAGAAAATCTGCCCCCTATCCAATATATATGGCATCATTAGTTAACGAAGTTCTGTATTGTCAACTTATAATATTTTTTTTTAGATTTTTCTAAAGACTAAAGACACTTTTAAGACAGACTATTAAATTTAAATGTTTATTTGAAATAATATGTATGGCTAAAGCAAAATTTGTCTAGACTGAGTGGCCGTAATGAGTCACAGCTATTTATTTTACAGGGGGCCTGGGGCGTAGCAACTTTTACTGCAGACACATTTGCCATACCAATTATTTTTTAAACACCTCATTGCCATACCAATTATTCTTATGATATGGCACAAACCCTTCTAGAAAGGACATTTTGCCGTTCAAATATTAAATACTTTCCCTGCTACGCCTCTGCTTAATCCCTTTTGAACTCTGTGTCCCGACGGCCAAGTCAGAAAATACTTAAATAGCTCCCGACACATTCAAAGGGGGTTACGCCTCTGATTATCAGAGTGAACTCCATTTCAGAGATACTTATTGCTATTATAATCATTTCCAATTATCTATGTCTATGTCTACGTAGTGTTCTGTACATAAATGTCATTTTTTTTGGTGGCCAGTGTGGGAAAAAAGCCCCCCCCCCCCCTTTTTTTACCTCAAATACATAAACAAAACAAAACTGTAATCGTATTTAAAGGATCCGGTAAGTCTTAGAAAACATTAACCGAAATAATTAAAGGAATCAAGTGCAACAGACTCAAATATAAGTGAATATATCACATCATTCATTGACATGCATGTTTGCGCGGTTTCTGCAAATAATTTCAGTGAAAATCAGTTCAATGGATATGCTCACAAACGTCATCAACATTTTGGTGATATGATGCATAAAAGAATAAAATATTAATAACTTAACTTACCTCAAACTTGCTGTCACTCGTCTTGCATCTATAAAGTAAATATTAATCGACCTTCGGCGTCTTTCACATTTCCAAATTAACCTTGCGGAAATGTTACAATTACTCTAAAAGAAACACGAATCCGGATACGGTCTGATATTCCGGGAAGTCCTGGTTTTTACATGTTTCGGTTCCAATTAAAATTAATGTTTACATTGTTTATAATAATGTACAGACGAGAAGCAAAATACTTTTCTTTAAATACAAAATATTTATTGGCACAAAGTCATTAATTATAACAATGAAGGGTTCCATTTAAAAGTCAGTCCTGTACAGTAGTATTGCATATATAATAATATTTAAACAGACATATATTTATAATGAAAAGTTTATAGGATATTTAGAAAAATGTGAGTGGAAATAATTAGACCATATTACAATAATCACATGGGATTTTTTAAATCTGAATAAGGATAAGAAAAAGTTGACATGAACAAATATCACGGCCTTTTCACTGGTTTCAACAACCAGTGAAAAGGCCGTGATATTTTTTATTAAGCATGAAAGGACAAGTTTTCACGGCCTTTTCACGGGATATTGAAATTTCACGGTCTTTTTAACATCAAATATTTTTCACGGCCTTTAAAAATATTTTTTTTACAAAAGTCACGGGGTATTTTCACGGGGTTTTCACGGCCCTGTGATATTTCACAGACATTTCACGGCTTTTTCATGGGCTGTTGTTACAGTAGTGGGGGCGGATCTAGCCATTTTTAAAAGTGGGTCCCAACCCAGGATAAAGTGGGAGGGGTTCCATCTATATGTCCCCATTCAAATGCATTGATCGTCAAAAGAAAGGGAATTCCAACCACCGGAACCCCCTGGATTCGCCACCAATAATATAATAATGAAAATATGTTGTATGTTTGTCAAGGCGACAACTCTCACCAAAAGACCAAAAGACACAAAAACTAAAACTTATACACCACCCTACTTCCTACAACAATCGATTAAACTGCATAGTCAGCAATAAAATCCCTCGAAATGACAACCGTAAAACAATTAATCATAATTAAGTCAATTATATGCAGTAACTGGAATACTTGTTCAATGTACAAACCTGAAGCAGTGAGGTAATCAATAGCATAACACTTAAACATAATAATCAACCATAATTTAACAGGATAACATAAATATGATATGAAAATAATTTTATTTCTATTCATTTGAACATATTTCTATTCAAAGTTTTCACAGCGGTCAGTCATATTGATCATGCTATTATAAAGCATCTCCAGGTAGAGAATTACAGACAAACAACATACACCTATACGTGTGATGCCTCCTTTATTTTAGTGGTGTTTGCTGTCTACCATACTTGTTTTTCCTTTATTGGTTCGTCATTAATCAAACCGTTAGTTTTTTTCGTGTCAATTATTTCGCACTTGTCACGTAAGAGCTATTAAAAGCGGACTTAAGGGTATGGGTTTTGCTAATTGCCGCACTGTGACCTATTGTTGCTTTTTCAATTGGACGCTCTTAGATAGTTGTCATATTGGCAATCAAACCGTGTTGACACTGTCTGTAATTGACTTTTTAAACCGGATATCAATAATTATTCGTGATATCTATAATGTTAAAAATCAATATATTTAATATCAGTTTTGTGTTTTTTTTTTATTTAGCTCCAATTAAGCAGGTCACCATACAGACATTGCCAACAGACAAGAATCCAATAGAAATTATCGCGGGCACAAATCAAATGTTCAAGTGTGAAACTGATGCCGGTCGCCCATCATCAAGGATACAGTGGTATATATCTAGTACAAACATTACTGCATTTGCTTCTCTTGTGGAAAATATAATCAGTGTTAATAAATTTATATCATCAAGTAGATTGACATATACGGGAAATATTGCAGACGAAGGGAAGATAATATACTGTACAGCTGTAAATGTACAGGGACAAAGTGTCATGTCACAGAACAAGTCAGTTGTTATCTGGTGTAAGTATTACTACTGTAATACGCTAGACATTTACTCAATCTTATCAATTATCGGTATCAAGGCGCATATAATACTTGTATCAAAGCAATTATCCTTCTCAAAATACATAATATAAGTGCCTTGGATATTTAAAAAATAACTTGGGCACTCTTTTGACAAGAGCACATATGTTGATTGAATAGTAAAGTAAAACGCTTCTACACAAGTGTCGAGTTTGAGATCTACATTTGGACACAACTAGACAGAATCGATCGACATCATAGCATAAAAATGTTGTATTTTTAATCAACAACATATTGGATGAATTTGGTCAAATTGACAACAATACACACAGTCGGTATTTCAATGGTTGCTTATTGTACAATGCAAACAACATACATTTTTTTAAATTTACAGTTAGCAACCATTATACAATATACTGCCACGAAAAAAAAATGAGCATGCTGCAAAGTTGATTTGTTTTATTGTCAGCTTTATTGACTTTATCGTGTCACGCAATTACGATAATTTCAGGGACTGTTTGCATTTATTTTTTTTTTAATTTAACATGAAACTAAAGATACTTTTGTCTCTAGAAGAGGTCTTCGAATTTGGTCCCAATCCTACCCACGTTTGTGTAGTCATTTATTAGATTTTCAATGGACAGAACACTGACTATTTCTGTTACTGATATATTTAAAGTCGAAGACAGTTGTTAGTTTAACATGTTTTCCTGTAATCAATGTGTATGAATATGCATGTAATATTCATTTTAGTAACTGCACATCAACCAAGTAGTGTAATATTGTATATTTCCATTTTAGTAAACTTTAAAACTAAACACTCACAAACTTGTAACCGTTAAGTATCAATGTGTATGTAATGTATGAATAGAAGAAAGCTACAAAATGTTTAACGAATTCGTACATACATCTATTTATAGAAGAATTAAAAATGGCATATGCCAGTTAATTAGAATAAGAATAATATCAAACAAATGTGTCTAAGATTAATAGTAATATATGTGTTGATCAGTGTCGAATACTTTCGAAAGAAACAGAGAGACAAAAGATACAAAAGGGGTATACACACTTTATGTCATTTGATATTTTGTGAGGAGTTGTCTCATTGAAAATCATACCACCTCTTCTTATTTCTGTATTAAATACAGATAATAAACTGACAACGCCATGGGAAAAAAAGAAAACAATACCAGAGACAAAAAGTATACAAAAACTAAAGACTAAACATGAACAAAAACCGAGTGTATCATTAAACACTTCTAGTTACGAACTTCTCTGTTTAGTGCTTAATCAGTTGGGTAGTAATGCATAAAGGTACGCTCGTATTCTTAATTCTAGGTCGTGATAGTAATGTCAACAACAATACATAAGACATTAATAGCTAGGCTTCTGTTTATTATGTCCGATTTCAATAACATATAAAATGAAGTTGATCAAACTAATGTTTGATTTCAGATCCACCACAATTACCCTCAATTAACCAAACACCCATGGGTTATCTCAATGAAACCGACCTGATAATTTTCACGTGTGAAATACGTGGAGGTAATCCGTTAGCAACTATAACATGGCAGTGTGATAAAACATCACAAGTCACACCTACAGAGAATCCTTCAACAGACAAAGTAGTTTCCAGTGTCCAGATAATAGCCAACAAAGACCTTAATGGTAAAATGTGTACTTGTATTGGTACACATCCTACTTGGCCAGAACCTAAATCATCAAGTAAAGCATTACAAATCAGATGTAAGTAGAATAATTTCATTTCAAGAAGGTATGTATTGAACATTTAAAAAAATATCATACGTTAAACATTGAAAAGGTTAACAGACTAAAAATGAAGATATCCTTGATGCTGGAAAATATAGTTAAACGACAGGCACTTTTTAAAAGGAGATATTAAACAAATGAATGAATGCAAATCTTTTTCTATGAACTGCTTATTCGTAAACAGGAATACAAACAGTGTTTGTATCTATTGTAAAGTAAGAACATTATAAAGAAAGATTCAAATTATTGTTTTTTAAATTACATATTAAACATTTATCATTTAGATGCTCCAACTTTCTTACCATCAATTATGCAGACACCTCCAGGAATTGTCCTTGAAGGTGCTAAGGTCAAATTGACATGTGAAATATTAGGAGGTAATCCATTACCTTCTATTTCTTGGAAATGTAATGAGTTTACAATTGTTGAACAAACCAGTACTCCACCAAACGACAAAGTCGTGTCTAGTATAGAACGCAATGTAACCAGAACTGATGATGGAAAAGAATGTGTGTGTACCGGTCGCCATCTTCTGTGGACAAATGACAAGAAAGCTAGTCATATACTTGATGTTAGGTGTGAGTACCATTATTTTAAGCACATAATTGATAATATATTTCGTCATAAAAACAACAAATTAAAACAAAATTCTACACAAAAGATTAAGTTATAAATTACCTTTCAGAGGTCTCACGTAAAAAATAAAATAACACAAATACCGGACCATACATGTCACACTCCTAAAGGTAGAATGGGGGTGGTGTTTTACCTAAATTCCATATAATTTGTCAATAAACGATGCTTTTAGAGTAACCGGGCTTTTTTCACGCTACAGGTTGTGCAAAAATTGTCAGATTTTGTATAGATTAAGCATGGAAAATCTTATTTTGTGTGATAAAAAGACATTTACACCATATAATTTTAAGATAAAATTTGAGAAGATAGCGCCAACAATATGCTTATAGATAAGAACACGAAGAAATGGGGTCACCAGACTTGTTTTCTTGCTACATAATGAAATATGTAAAGTCACAACACATCCTTTTATGAATATTACTTTATCTGAATTATCTCCCCTTATATAGGAAAATTTCAAGAAATGAATCAAACAGCCGTAAATTTGATAAAACACATAATTTTCTATATTGATATAAAAGTGTGCTATTTCAAGGTTCTAGATAGAAGACGCCTCTCCATACACCTTAAAGGATTATGAAAATAAAAGCATTCATATCTGAAATATAAATAAGTTGGCATGGTCGATATATGATAACATACAAGAATAATAAATTAAGGGATATGATGATAAA